GGGGGGGGGTTCCTCCATTTCTAGTTTAGTCATTTGCAGCAGGAGTTAATGGGAGCAAACACCTACTAGATGTGTACTAAACATGCCAAAGAGAGAGAACAATGCTCTACTCTAGTTTAGGCAGTTGCAGTAAGAGTTCATGGAAGCATACACCTAGATATGAGCTAAACAAGTCCAATATTAAAGTAAAAAGAGACTAGGAAGCACAAGACGAGAAGAATGACACTACAAACTTGACTTAAGAATAACACAAGGATGCACATGACATTTCCTGTAATGTGGCTTCAGAATGCCCAGAATTAAACAGGTGAAGCATGCGGTGAATTAATAATGGCCTAGAGGTTTCAAATAGTACACGTACAAAAATCTCAGATAAGTTGGCAGATATAGTCTTCTCCAATTGGCTTGCAGCAGTAAGCATGAAACTCTTCCTGGTCATTCCAATGTCAAAAATGGCCTCTAGTTTGAGTGATGGCAGCATATTTAAGTCACCCGAAGAAATTAGAGAAACAATCTTTTGCATGACAATACTGTTAAAGCTAGCTGCCTTCACATCCTCGTCATACTTATTGACAAACAAGCTGATTTCCACTAAAACTTTCAACGCTGCCTTCCATAGAAACGTCTTGTTGAAATCAGATTCAATGATTGACATCAAAGTCAGCAGGATTTTCTCATACATGAACTTTGACGCTGAAATAAAGCTTCCAGGAAATGTAGCCAAGATCTCCAAACCTTTAACTATAAATTGAGCACAAAAAAAAAAGAATGTTTCAGTCAAAAGCAAGTAAATTACACTTTACAAAACACAATGAGCACAGAAGACACTCACATTCCCTATGACGTTAACAGGATCCAAGTGATCCTAAGACAAAGCGTGGACTATTTTAAACTATTTTAAACTATGAATAGCTCGTGGCCTACCATCATAAAACCTTTTTGGGGAGAATGCAGATTGGAGCTATGGGAAACTTGACAGGACAAGTAAGACCATATGACCTATAGTACTAAGACTAAAGAAGACAGCTTAGTTCCAGAACAAATTCATTTGTGAGAAGTATTTACCTGCTGCATAAACATAAGCATTCCAAGTGCTTTCAGCACAACTTGCTCGAATGAGACAAAAGAAAACACTGCATAATGATGTGGAGAAACTATGAAGTATCTGGCACCAAGTGTCATGCGATAGATCCGGAACTGAAGCGACTTTATCGGAGCTGACTACCAGCTGTCTGCATGCAGCAAGGAGTTCAACACAAAGATACAAGGCTCCGAAGTTAAATTTTGCATCCAAAGCTGAATGAATAGCCTCGGGGGAATTTTCAACCGAGAGCCTTAAAGCATCCACCAACCGAGGAAAGAAACTTTCAAAAACTTTATTGCAGGAAGACCCAGAAGATTTAACACAAACAGAAAGAATAAGACCAACTGCATGTAATCTCTGCTTGTATTCAGAAGAAAGACTATTGAAATCGTCGAACTGGGAAAAGGACTTTAGAAATGTGCTTATGTCCCCATCACCCAGAATCAAATTTAAGAATGACGCATTATGCTGCCGAACAAGCACCTGAAGAAGTTCAAGGGCCTGCGTCATAATTTCACTCTCATGAAAACCTATTCCATCTATTGTATTGGAATCCACTGACAAAACGGAGTGCGGACAAGTAAATATTGCATCTTTTAATGCAGACCAAAGGGATTCAGTGTATTTTTCCATTCTATCTCCTCCATATTTCAATGTGCAGTAGCTAAGGTACTTAAAAGATTCCACCTGTAGCACAAGAATCAATGAAAATATTGCAAAATAATACATTCAATCCAAATGCTAATAAGGTAAAACTAATAGAAATAGTTGGAACTAACCTTTGCTGATGGCAGAGAAGAAGATAGTTTTTCAAGAAGTAATGGAATGGCTGAGGGTTCAAAAAGTGGCGTGGAAGCAAACGCCAGCTAGAAGACAGCAAAGAATGTTAGAATCTAATTAAAAACCAATAAGAGGAATATGGAATATAATAGGAATATGAAAAACGATAAGAATGTGAAAACGAATAGCAAGTTATTTTTATTGCCTCTTTGAACGAAGACACCAGAGCAAACTATTGCACCCCCGACATAATTAGTTGATAAGATTTCCTTATGTATGGGAATAGGCTCTTAAGTTCAACATTTGGAAAGCATGTATCATCTGTTCAAATTCAAGAACTTCACACCTAAAATCTAAAGGTTAAAGGTGAAAAGATTCGGGTTTCAACAATCAACCCAATTAAAGGTTAAAAGATCCGGGTTTCAACAATCAACCCAACTAAAATCCTCTCAACCACGATAACTGGAGAGTCTAGGGCTGGCATGAAATGCCTCAACTGTTGATGGACTAGGTTGTCCATCCGGACAGTCAGAAGAAGATGCCAAAATTCTAAATGTTAAGACTTAGCTGATCAATTCATTAACATATTAAATTTTTAATGGAGACCATTTCAAGCTTCAAACCAGCTTCCTTCTTTTTTGGGATAAAGTAATAATTTTAGTATCAAACTTCTTACGCTGAAAGAAAGAGAATATTTATCATCCAGGCACTAAAGAAACACCTCCCGTGGAAGCATCCTAGGGAAGCGAGATAATACATAAGCACCTACAATCAATTCACAATGAGCATAGAGATTGAATCAGAGTTTTATGGCTTTCTCCTATGCCAAGTCACATTACTTTTTTTAAAAAGACCCATAGAAAGTAAGCTTTTTTAAGGTCTAGAAAAGTTATAAGCTTCAAACAATGCATACATTGTTCAGTTAAATTCCTCTTTTTCCAATTGGTACAACTGCTTAGTAAATCTGTAAGAATTTATTTTTGTTTTCTAATTAGGTGGAGCAAAGCTACTCATTTGCACATGCATATCTTTATACATGCTCCTTCAGCAATAAAGACATATCAGAAAACTATACGTTACATATGTTGTGGACCAGAATGAGCCTTCCCCAGAATTAAGCTGCAAACTCTAATGCTGCTAACCTCTTATAGAAAAGTTGGAAGAAGAGACGTCTATTCTCGACTAGAGATAAAAATACCAGCCTTTTCTAACCAAACCATAAATAAAGAATTAACATGTTAACCAAAGTGATGCAACTCAACTCAGCATATAATATCTACGTTTTCTCGAGATTCACAAAATCATGAACAGTCAATCTTTTGGGATCTCGAAGGATCCTATGTGCCTTCTGCTCCATAAATGGATTAACCTGTTAGTTACTTTTATCATGAAGATAAAAATCATAATATTCTCTACAAAAGAAGCTTTAGAAAAGGTTATAATAATTGCATTTTAAGAAATTGGCATACCATTAGGGCCCTTGAGAGTTCCTCCCTCTTTACATCAATTTCATCACCTTTAGGCTGGATTTTCCAAAGAGCGAGACAAAAATAAATTGTCAAGTAAAGGAGAGAGAACAATAATGACTTGGAATTAGTATTACTTATCAAAAGAATATAAAAAGACTGTAATTTATTAGAACCTGATAAATTAGCTACCTTCTCATAAGTCTAAGGCTATTAGTCATGAAATCATTGCTTATACTTCCCCTTGAAGGGTAGGAAAATTATTCTTGAATGGTATCACCAACCCCCGAAGAGAATAAATAAGGTATAGAAGCAATATAGGACGTCGTGCAATTCTAAAGTTCATAATCAACCCAACCCATACTTTCTTGTCCCACAACATATATAGCGAGGTTAAAAGCTAGTCCATCACTTCTCTTTCCGTTTCTTTCAAAGCAGTTCAGTTAGAGATGATATATCATATGTTGCCTTCGGCCCTTCATGGTTGCAGATCATTTTCTCATTGATGTCGGACGAGATAGCAGTTTCACATTTTTACTTAATTATCAATTCATAACAAGGATTAGAGCTTTCCAAGGAAATCTATTAAAATATCTTCACTAAATCTTGAAGCGGCCAGCATAGTCAGATACATATTTCCTAAATTCAGAAAAAACACAAGAAAAGAGCAGAGAGACAGTATGATTCAATGATCTCACATGGGTAAAATGGATAGGAAAGTAACATCCCAAAATATCGAACAGATCCCCTGCAAAATTCGCCAATGGGCCAGAAGATTCGGGAAATAATTGTGCCAGAACTTCAACTACACGAAATATGAGCATCAAGCATTGTGGGTCCTTTTCACCATCAATAGCTTCACAGATTCCATATACAAGATCATCACCCTAGGAAGCCACAATCCAAGATTAAAATTAAACAAGTAAAGGACTAAAACGCAACCAAATACATAGGAAAAGGAAGTAATAGGTTTCTGAAAAAGAAACTAGATATTGTAGTCAAAATAATGACAAATGGGGTGTCGGAGACCTCTATAAAAGACGGGTATAACATATTTTTTTTTATTGGTATTTGGTAAGTGTTAAAGTGTGACACTGGTACTCCATGTGAAGGTGGTGTTTCAGTTTAACTGCACCTGATTTAAGAAATTAAAGAAGACTTTTCATATGTAAGCCATATATGCAAAGTACAAAATTATCCTTTTAGATGAGTGGTGCTGAGGGTTTCAGATGTCTTTTCATTTTCTCTCTCCTTGTAAAAGAATGAACTTTTATATGAATTGGGTCCCAACAAGTCATGTCATTACGGGTAAAATGGGAATGCATTAAATAGTTTCCAAAAAGAGAAAGATATCATTCTTTTAGGAACAAGATTAAGAAGGCAAGTGTGTCATATAAAATGGGAAGAGAGTATAACATATTAGCACCTCATATCTACATGACTGCATATCTCTCAAGTGAAGAAGATTTGTAATCTTTGCAAATTATACCGTCATAAAGCCACTCGGCCTAATTGCAAGAATTCAAGAAACTAGCTTTATAAGGGTGTCATAAAATTAAAGTAGCTAGAGCTAGAAACAAAGATGCATAAGACATTGAACGCCAAAATTTTCTTTTGTTTCTTTAGTATTTTGGTGTAAAGATGAAACACCAACTTGTCTACATAGCTAGTCCAGCTCCTAGGAGGCTTAGTTATTGTTACAAGTAAAAATAACCCCATCTTGGATTAGTTATTAGTGAACTTTTTCGATTTATCCAAATAAAAATAACAAGCATCCAAGGGTGTGGCCTAGTGGTTAATGAAGTGGGTTGAGAAATGAGAACCATGAGGTCTCGGGTTTAAATCCGAGCGGATGCAAAAACACTACGTGATTTATTCCCATCTGTCCAAGCCTTGGTGGACAGAATTACCCGGTACCTGTGCTGGTGGGAGGTAGCAGGTATCTCATGGAATTAGACGAGGTGACCGCTAGCTGGCCCAGACATCACGGTTTTTGAAAAAAAAAAAAAAAAAAAAGGGTACACCGAGAGCTAGTAGTTACTTATATTGTTTTGTTGCTTGCCCCAGGACAAATCAATGAAGATACTATCAAACAGTAAACCATGCTAAAATTATCATATAGATGAAACATAATTAACTGAAAAGAATTAAAAGCTATTACCAGTGACAAAAGGGCATCCGGATAACGATCCAATAGGCATTCCAATATTTGAAGACAAAGCTGCAAGAATAAGACAGTAAATTCACACTAGCTGGAGATACTATCAACAGATATTTTGTGTCATTCCAATTTTATCGGATGTCTCCGCTGGGACAAAGATACTATCAACAGATGCAGAAACAACAGTTTATTTGTCCATGTGCAATCATTTTACCTTCCTGTCTTGCAGTCCCAATAACTGCACCTGCAGGTTTTGCAGATAAGACTGTGCAACGGCCTTTGCTTGACTCTTATTGATCATGCCAGCATCACTTTTCCTCCTTAGAAGAGCCAAACAACCAACAAGGGCACCATGCAACGCTTTCCAGTCTGCCTGATATAAGTACAGTATCATCTAGTCAGAGAACTTTAGATGATAACCAATTAAAAGAACAGAGGTAAAGATACATGGTGCATATAGCTATTAAATTTTTACAAACTGTTGGACTGGATTAAAACAAGCAGATATTCTGCTGGAAGTTCAAGTCGATAAGGACGAGCACCAAGAAGGATCAGAAAAAGGTCAGTAATGTATCCACTTTCAAATGGGCAAGTAGGAGTACTTTTTCGTATGTGGATCCATTAAATTATGCAATTAATATGTTGCACACAGATTGAAGTTCAGGGGAGTATTAACGATTCCAGTGTAAGGTAAAGAGGAATAAGAAAGTTGTATTAGCAGTATTGTTAAGAGATTGTAACATCATTGGGAAAAAGCAATTTCCAATCTGCAGAAGAATCTCTATGGTAGTAAAGTAGGAAAACTTAGAGCTGATAGGATTGTTACATGGGAGCAACAAGCTGATTTATCTTCTAGTAATTAGTCAAATCTACAACAGATGATTGAAAGCATGTTCCCTATGAGAGTTGTGTCCTTCAATTACAAAGCAACACATGAACTTACTACTAAAGGATAATTTGGAGAAAGATGGAGTCATAAATTTTGCATGCATTGAGAAAGACAATACACAATGGTAAATACAACTAAGTAGGCAAAAACATAAAAGATGAAAAGTAACTCAAACAAGCATCGTAGAGATGTAAAAGTATGCAGAAGAAAAAAAATTTAATTGACCGCATTGAGTTCCAAAAAGCAAAATAGCTACGTGCACAAAGCACCTTGTCTTTCTATGACAAATTCCTGATCCTAAAATGTTTGCTCACCAGCCTCTCTGTGAAGAATTCTACTAAGCTGCTTATTGCAGTATCACCCAAGGGCTTCGATATTAATTGCATCAATAGTTCTCCAAGTAAGAGGATACCTGGAAGATAACAGGTTATCTAGCATAGAGAAAACAAAGGGAGAGAAAGAGGGGTAAAATAAATTAGGGAGAAAATATTAATATTATCCAAGACAAAAAGGAGAAAAAGTGTTTGGACCTTATGGAGCTTTCAACATAGTTTTGCAAATAAGCACTGGACTTTAATGAAAAAGGCGCAAATGAAAAAAAAAACATATGAATTTCAAGTGTAATAACTATAAAGACAAATAACAATCACATGGAAAAATGATTTTAAAAACTATAACAAAGTGAAAAAGTTATTGTTTGGTGCTTTTGTCATCATCCTACCAAAGTGAAAGATAAGTTCTATAGAAGAGTTATAAGACCAGCAATATTATATGGGAACAAATGCTAAGGTCCAACACCTCCACGAGATGAGTGCCGCGGGACCAGTTACCCCAACTCTTTTTCGTATTGACGGAGTGGTCCGCATGGTTTATGGGTTTTGCAGGTATCTCATCTTCACTAGTCAATATATACTCTTCTGAGCAAGATGATGGTACATCTTCTCTCAGTTGCTCTTTCTAATAAAATTTTCTCGACATATTAAAAGCAGTATATTGTACATGCAGCACTCTTAAGAATCCCTATCCAAACACCGACATCAAAATATGCAGAATAATGTCTAAAGATTAACAACTAAGTCATACTATCAAAATGTTCAAACTCAATGCACTCTGAAATCCCCCTTCTACCTCTTTGGTGTCTCGGAAATGCCCCACATTCAAAGAACAATGGCACAAGGCAGCAAGAACTGTAAAGCGACTAACTGATATGTCGAACTCTAAATTGATTGAAACGTTAATAAAATCATTTATCTTATCCAAAAAAAATGGTTTTTATAATTAAAATACAACTATTCTTTGTCAATGAATAAATCATCCCTTCTCAAAAGAACAATTTCGGTTCATAAATTCAGATATTCCAGCAAAAATCCTAAAATAGCCAAATCAACTCATGTCCCAAACCAACATTTGCACTTCTAAGAGCCAATTGTTTTTTTTTTCCTTCAACAAATACTTCAATTGTAAAACTTAAGATAACAATAACCAAAAGATAAATACTATCAAGACAAAAAGAAAAGGATACCTCTTGAACGAATGATATTATCTGTAGTGGTCAAATACATCTCCATTTCTCTAACCTATGTGTATCAAACCCACACAAATTTAGCAAAGCAAAACAATAAGCTCAACAAATTTCAGAACAAAATAAAAATCTAAAATAATAACATACCAAGACTTCTAAAGTTAACAAGTCATTTTTCAGAAGAAGAGCAATTGCATCAATGCTTGCCGCCTGCAAAACGCAATTAAATTATTGAGAAATGTCGCGTGAATTGTAAGTTGAGAGAAAGAAAGAAAGAAAGAAAGAAAGAAAGAAAGAAAGAAAGAAAGGAGAAAGGGACCTGCTGTGCCGGAGAGCTAGAAGAGCTAACGTAAGACTCAATGTGATTGACATACTCAATTGTAGGAGTCGCTGCCATAGCAAGAGAGAGAAGATTTTAGGACAAAGGTAATCGGAGGGTTTAAGGTACTGCAAGGGTTTATGAAATACTAGTATCTCTCAAAGTAATTGAAGACGGAGCGCTGGAGTAAACTGCCGGAGTAGAAAAAGCCAAGATACGCGCACTTTTATACGTACAGGATTATTATTATTCATATACATTGATCATTTATGTTATAAAATAAAAACTATAAAGTAAATAAATCGAACATAGGTAGATTGATATTTTTATTCAATTTCAAACTGATATACATAATGAACTAGCTGTTGTGTAAGCTGCTTGTAAGCTGCTATTCTAAGCTGTTGTGTAAGCTGCTACTGTACCAGATATAGATAATCTTCTACCAGAGATAATATTTATCCATAATGGAATACCGAAAGGATAAGCTTCTTTAGGAGGCTTATTTCCAACGGAGTACTAAATGAACATCCATAATATAATATATTAATAACACTCTCTCTTAGATGTTCATTAAAAGATATTGTGCCTCGTTAAAACCTTACTAGGAAAAATCCAGTAGAAAAAATTCTAGTGAAAGAAAAAGAGCACATATTTAGTAATACGCAATTCTAGCTGCCTCATTAAAAACCTTACAAGAAAAAACCCATGAAAAAAACTTTAGTAAGGAAAAAAGAGTACAACGCGTATTTTACCCCCCCCCCCC